CGCGCGGGCTCGCGCGCTCGCGGGCCGCCCCGAGAGCGGCAGGGTCGCAGAGCTCGGCGAGCTTCGCAGTTCACCGCAACGCTGCGGACTCCACGCACCGGGAAGCAATGACGTGTGTTCCTCGTGTATGAAAGTACTATATTTAAGATCGATTTTATACCTGATTACAAGCATCTTTCCCGCTTTTGAGTTACTTATTTCTCAAACCAGCGCAAAATGGATACAAACCTGATATTAAATAAAAGAAACCTAGAGCTGGGCAGGCCATGGTTGCCGTGGAGCTCTCGGGACGCTTCTGGAAGATTCATCTAGCGCATAAATGTGTTTTGATGAAGTTGTAAACTTCAGATCAGGCTAGATGCTTAAAGCCTTCACTCCCTAAAAGTTAAGTGTAAACAGGAAACCAGGATTCCTTGTTATGCATTAGTTGAATGGTCTCAAAGATCAGAGTTTTCATTCCTACTAGATAGTTCCAGGGGGAAAAAAAAAACAACTTTTGAGTCTGGAACAGACTTAAACAACGAAGTGAACCTAAGGAAATCCTTTGGACCGTACGTGTATGTTTGAACCAAATGCCAGATGATTTTGTGTAACTGAAACTGGTCATTGAACTGTTCGTGTGTGTCCAGGGGCTTTTTGTTTCCCTTGCGAAAGAGTTCCTTTGTATCTTTCTTCCCTCCCTCCTTAAATCACACTATTTGTTTCCCCTGAAAGGATCTGAGGGCTGGTTTACCAGTTTTGTTGGTGCAGAATCGCATAAGTTTCCAAGGCTATTCCTTGTGTTTTGAGATCAAAGGACACTTACTTAATTGACCTTTTTGTTCTACAGGCTGCAGAGCAAGGTGAAAAAATTTGCTTTGCACCAGTACTGCTCACAAAAGGGCTTCCAAGCATGCTTTGCTCAATGAGGTGGTCTTCCATATTTTGCAAAAATGCTGTGCACAGACAGTGAAATTTAATGTTGATAAAAATCTAACAGTTTGTACAGTATCCACTTGCTTTAGACTTCTGACAATTTCTTGTGATAGACAGGTTGCTGTAGGAAGTATGCTCAAAGCTTATACAGTGCCCTTCTGTGTACTGAGCTCTCCAAATTCTTTAATACAACCTATCAAAAAACAACCCTCATTATCCCCAAGATGCAATATGTAAACTAATTATTTACTTAATTATTACTTTTTTTTTTCCCCGGAAGAAGAAAAATCATGACTAGCTGTAGGTAAAGGTCAATGGTCAGAAATGGGAAAACAGAAACATGGTCCTGTTTCCTGCTTTACCTCTGCTTGGCGTGCTGCAGTTAGGCTTGCTGTGGTGCTGCCAGGTGAGAGTCTCGGTTGTGATGGGTGGCAGCTATCACTGCCCAGTCCTGCACCATCCCACAGGCTCCCTCTCTCTGTTCCCCCTCAGCAGCAGCAGCTCTGCAGGAACCACTTCCTTCCTTTCCCTTACCCCATTTCTGTCTGGTCTCTCCTTTCTCCCCATGACAAGGGCCCCTCATCTTTGCATAGGCAAAAAGCAGTTCTCCTCAGACCTATAAGATGCTTTGAGCTGGCTCTGAAGCCTTTTCTGTCTGTTTTTTTAATTGTTTTTTTAAACCTATTTTTAAGGAAACTACTTATGCAGCCACATAGGGTATATGCACCTCTGTCAATATGGCCCCATTCCTTTCCCCCTCTACTCCCCTCCAATCCTTTTCAACTTTTTGATTAGCTGCAACCAAACTTTTGAGAAGGATTTTGTTTTAAAAAAAAAAAAAAGTTATAAGTTGCCTGACGAGGATATGGCAAGGTGGAAGAGGCACCTTATTATGGCTTTTCATTGTAGAGAAGATGGAGCTTCAGGCTGGAACTTTTTACTTTGTGGGAAAATAATGCCCCAGGAAACTGGTTCTGCTGCTGTGCTGTTTATCTCAACCATCACTGGCTGATAGCTTAATTCAATATCTTCCCTAGTACAATAACAGCACAAACTGTACCTGTGTTCCTGGGTGGTGTAAGTGCTCTTGAAGCATCAGCCTCTTGCCTCTTCCTCCTCTGGGCAGACTTCCGTGTTCTTCCACTGTTACTGGGCTGCTACCTGTGAATCAACAGCTAAGCTTATCCCATAGGTCCATCTGATTTCTGTCCCCAGTCTCTTCCTCCCTGTGAAAGAGTCCATGGCCAGTAACTAATGATAAAACCAAATAATGATTTGTCTTGGAAGTAGAGCAAGGCATTTAGAAAAGAGTCCCCCCACCCTTACAGTCTGGTACTGAAGTAGGTCTATCCTTGGGTGCTGTTTTGCTTACCTGAGATGCTCCTTCCACCTCTAGGGAAGTTATTCTTTAAGCCTGCCATAGCCCTTTGGATTGCTTGCGCTCTCTGAGCTCCTTGCTGTTTTTTAGTAACTTTTGAGTTGTTATGAAAAAAAGAAAAAACTTTTAAAGCTGTTCTTCCCTCCCCTTTTTTATTTTATTACTGCACACCACCCCACTACACCAGTATATTTTCACAGAGTAAACATTCCAAGAAATGGGCCAATATACAGAATCTGAGGCATTTATAAACCCACACTCATCCATCACAAGATCCACAGCCTGCATAGACAGTGATCTGTTAGCAGGGCTCTGTGTGCCCTGCAAGAGAGCTAGGATTTTTGGGGGTGGGTAGGGGCAGAGCAAGGAAGAAACAGACTTCTAGCAATGTTTGTCTAGTATGTCTTTCCCACCTTAGTTTATTGCCTTGTAACTTCTTATGCAGACTGTAACTCTTCAAGTTCCCTAATCAGTCAGGAAGTTGCAACAGATAACAAGAAAAAGCTTTAATCCATTCATTTTCAAAGCTCACCCCTTCTGTAGCTCTCCAAGCATTTGCTGGTATTTGCTGGCACTATGCACCTGGTCCTCAGTTTGGTTCCTTTGGATAGTAGTATGTTGTGCTACATACAGCCAGAGCAGTAGGGCAGCTAGCTTAATAAATCTTTACCCTCTTAATGAGGATGCTTATTTTCTTTTTCCCATTCTTAAAAATTTGGCTTGATTTATGAGACTAGGTACTTGTCATATAGACCATGCTGATGAATCTTCTTATGAAGAAAAGAACGCTCTACATCTTTTGGAAAGAAAGACTGTCTGTATTAGTACTCCCTGCCGGAGAAAAGGCTAAAAACAGAAAACAAGCAGTTCTGTAAATAGAGCAGCACCAGGCTGAAAAAGTTGATGATAGGTATTATAACCTGCCCATGAATCAGCACTTCCCTAATTTACCCTCTCTCCTTCCCTCCTTAGCTTCTGGGATTTATTCTGCAGGGCTTCCCAACTGTGGTTAATGTATCAGTTTACTAACCTGCTACACCTGTGCTTCCACTGGGGTTTAGCTAATGTGGATCTCTTTAGTCATTAGTAGCCAGGCAACCATCAGCATTGGTATTCACACAGGAATATTTATTGGCCTATTTGTTCTCTTTCCACTTGTCTAGCTTGCACAGAAACAATTTTGTGATGATTCACACCTGATGTCATGCTTTATTCACTCATTATATACAAATTTAGAAAGTCCTGAAACTCAAAGTAGGACTTCATATGAGACTAAGAATCACCTGAAATCTGGTTCATCAAGAAATAGATTCGTCTGGCACAATTTTAATTTTGCTTAGTGCGCAGTGTGACAAGACTGATTATTGTATATGAAATATGTATTTGAAATTTAATATAACAGTTGGTTCTGAAAGTTTGCACTAATCTTTACGGCCAGGCACTTAGAACTGTAAAATATTTGTTTATGCCACAGTTAGACCAGCCTCTGGAAGAGCAGATCTTCTTCTGTGTGCCCCCCTCCCCCCTCTTTTTTAAGCTTCAGATAAAACATCAACTCTTGAAAGACTTGTAGTATATATAGCTAGAATTTCAACACTGGACTAATAGAAACATACAAGAAACTGTAACTATACTAGTAGAAGAAGGTAAGGAAATAAACACATTGAATATTTTAGTAGGACTTAGGATCACTTCTAGAAATACTGGCATGAATCTTGCTATTTACAGTTTCTACTACAGCCAAGGAAGTTACTGCTGTAAGCTAAGTTATACGCATTTAAATATCTGGAGGGTATGACCGTTTGCGTACAGCACAGGGCTTTACAAGCAGCACAGGTTGTACTGGCTGGAAAGGAATGTTTTATTTTAAGTAAGAAGGCGCACCCAGTTTCAACTCTGTGTCACCTTCAGACAGTGTGTGGCTCATTTTAGAAGTTCAAACCACTGCCTCATAAATCATATTTATGAGAACTTCAAATACCTCCTATGATTGCTCATTGTTTGCCAAACAGTCATAATTTTTGTATGCATTACAACTGGATCTCTGACATGTTCTGACATTAGAAATACTTCTGTTTTGAAATAAGAACTTCCTGGCGAGATACTGCCCATCAACAGCTAACCTGGAGTCCCAGACTACTGGCTTGCCTAGCCACCCTCTCTGCCCCTATGTAATCTGCAGAATAAAGTCTCTGAAATCCCACCGGAGTCCTGAACTAGGGTAGGATACAGCCAGTCAGCCACTGCCAGCCGCTTCCTAATTCTGCTTGGACCCCTGCTGTTGAGCAGGCTGTGCCTGGTCCGAGAGACACGGCAATTCATGCCGAGATCCCACAGGCATTCATACTACAGCTGCTTGTCAAATAAGTGTGTGTGGAATAATGTTTATGGACTTAAAAATAAAAAGCAGTGGGATAGCCTGCCACCTAAGCTCAGGCATTAATCCTAATAGATGAGCAGGAATCCTGTTGGAATTGTTAGCATGCTCCATTAATTAGAAGATTGCTACCAAAACATGCTGGCCCTGCATAGGCCAGCCTTGATCAGGAGATGCATGTTTATTTTTCTAACATCAGTGTCTCGGTTTCTTCCAAGAAGTTACTTAACTAGGTGCATAAATGGTGCAAATCTATAACTTGTCATATGGATCCTTCCTCTGATAATGATGCATAGTAAAACATATTAGCTTCCTGATTTTGTAGTTCAACAATGCTATTCAACAAAGCAGGAAGAAATAAAGTAACTAGCTAACCAGACTTCAGGTTTTTAAAAGCTTTTATTGGATGGGAGCTAAGAATAATAGTATTTACACCTTAAACACCTCATAAAATACAGCTACGCTCTTAGGGGGGAAGAAAGGCTCTAAAACTGATAGCTCTGAGTTTATTAGTTTAATTATCTTTACAGCACAGCTATTCAACTTCTTGTTTTTTCTCTCTCTCCAAATTACATGCAATGTAAGCTTAAGTCACATTCTGTTCTTGGTCATTTTGCACCTTCATTAGTAACAAAAGTTATTTTGTTGTAATTTAATAATTTTACTGATAATGCGTAAGCCACGTCAAAATCCAGTTCACTCTCCAACTTGTCTTGACTCTGCAGAGAACTAAACAGTAATTAAATGAAACATCTAACATCCTGTTGACGAGAAATGAGGACAGTAGGTGTGGAAGCCACTGTGAAGCCTGGCTGCCTGATAGTCTAATGTACTGATCATTAACATTCTTGGGATTGTCTAAGCATGGAACTCAGTGCGAAATGCTGTCTGGGAAAGGGAAGAAAACAAGCTCTCCTATACAGAAGGAAACAAAATGAAGGTCTTATTTGTCTCCTAAATAACTTTTAAATAGTTATTTAGTTTGTGCTTTATACAAGGGAGAATCTTTCCCAGACTGCATATTTCCCATAATATTTCCTGCAGATACTGATTATTTTCACTGTCCTCTACACAGGCTTCTGCCACCATTTTTTTTAGCAGCCAGATTACAATAAAGAGTTTGTGTGCCAATGAACGCTAACTAGCTGAGTGCCCCCATCCTCTGTGCAGGAGATTGAAAAAGCAAGATTTTCCAAAAGGTAAAATATGAATTCTTTCTAGGCCTTGAGAAGTAAATGCAAGGACTTTAGGACCGAATCTTGATCAAAAGTCCACCAAAATAAACAAAATTGTTCTACTGAGCTTGGTGGTGTGGTAATCGGGTACTTGATCTTCCTGAAAACTTTCCCAGAAGTAGAGCTGTAAGGAAGTATTTGAATGATGTCATGAAACTTTTTTGGCACACAGGAAGGGCAGGGAGTTCTAGAAAGAAGCAGCAGCTTTATAGAGCAAACGAAGACAAGGGCAGGGAAAGGATACGTTCAGGAAGGATGCTTGGACTAAGCTGGAGGGAAAGAAGTTGGAAGAAAGCATTGCAGACATGTACAGGGGTATAGAGCATGAAAGGCCCAAGGTGAGAATCGGGTATTCAAGCTTAATGCAGAAAGCAAGGAAACTATTGGCAAGGTTCAAATGAAAAATGACTCATAGAATGGAAGGAGAGAAGACTTTCAACATCAGAGAAAAGTTATATAACACAAAAACAAGAAAAAGCAAAGTAAAAGGAATAGTGGCAGCCCAGAAAAATAAACAGGCGGAGGGCAGAAAGCAATCTGCAGGTATAAAACCATGCTGTACCTTTAGTTATGCCCTGTTTATGTCTCTGAATGTGTATAAAGGAGCATAAAGTTTTTTTATAGCTAAAAGACTACTTTTAATCTTAGATGAATGAACGAGTTTGTTACGTGTACGTGTCGTCTCCAGTAAAAGGTTCAGCGCCTGTGTTATCGTATCTGCTGCCAATGTTTCCTCAACAAAGAGGTTATATACTGTCCATTCAAGTTCTGAATTTCAGGCCTCCGCTGTAATTGGTGTTTCAATGCAAAAATATTTCTGTGATGAGAGTAATTCAGTGTGACGCATTTTTTCAAGTTATCTGACAAAGAGTTCTGAAGAGGTTTACACAAGCTTCCTGTCATTTTTACCTGCTTATTACAAACTTTTCAAAATAAAGATTTCAAATTAATAATGTTGTACTATGTGCTTTCTCAGTTAAGCTAGTGTAATCTGGACTGATCAGCTCACTTTACTGCCTAGCCAATTTGCCTTTATTTGCGAACCCAAATGAGATCTAAACTTCAAGTAGATAGTTAGAACTTCATGTTGTTTAGATACATGTGTCTGATGTGCTAGTATGTCATTGCCCTGCCACTCATAATTGGAGCTTGTTGAGAAACTTCTAAATGCTGTTATTGTCAAAACCAAATGTTTCTAGTCAAAACTTAAGAGGGAGAGGTCCAAAACAGTGAATATTCTAGTAGCTGTAGTATTTGTGGGAAGACTTGTATCTGACAGACCTGAGCCTCTTTCTTGTGTCATGCATGATCCAGCAGGAACCAGACAAGTTTGGCAACAAGATACCCAGCAAGGCCACTCAAGAGAATATGCTTCATGTAAGAGCAAGCCTTAGAACAAATTTGTCTTAGTTGCTTCAGAATCATTAGTTAAGGCTGTTGGGATGTGCTGGTGGCTTATGAGCATCTATTCCACATTCAAAAACAGAAGCATTTAAAAAAAGAGGGGGAAAAGAATCAAAAAGTGTAACTTACGCTTTCATCCTGTTTTTAAAAAAAAAAAAAAAAAAGGTGCTCAGAATGCCTATACTTTCCCCTCAAAAGAAGTTAGACAACCATGCAGTCCTGTTCATCTATACCTGTTTTATCTTGTCAGTGCCCCCCAGAGTACTGGGGAGCTCAGTCCTGCTCATACACAGGTTGTGGTAGTTCGTCTTGTGCATGTATGCAAGAGATGCAGATATGCAGGTGTATTCTTGCAAATCCTGGATTTTATGCTGTGCTTTTTAAGGGCTTTATTTGATGAGTAGCTGAAGGCAATCATCATCTCGCCCCATGGAGCTCTATTATTCCGTATATAGCCATAACCCATCTTACTTGATACGGACCTAGCCATATATGAACTTGTTTGGCCAAAAGGTAACAAGAAAAACTAATGGGTGGACAAATCATGGCACCTGGAACTGTGAACATATGCAGATGAAATAGCTTATAAAGCTTATTCACATTTCACATTTCTGGTGCAGCATACAAAGAGGATGTTGGGTTAAGTGTGATAAGGCAGGGTAGATTTAAAGATTTGAGAGCATTCTCTCTGTGTGATAAGAAGAGCTGTGCAGACAAACAGTGCTGTGCCAGAAATACATTTTGGAGAGGTTCAGAGAGGAACCCAGGGAATGAGGGGTGGGAATTAAACTGAAGGTCTGAGCATCACCAACAGAAGAGATCCTTAATTCTTTTAAAATCTGTGAGCAGTGGTGTTGCCAAAGCCTGCTTTTTGATGGAACTGCATTTCAAGGCTGCGTATCTCCCAGCAGGTTGAGCAGGGAGCATCAGTAGGATTTTGTGCTTTACCAGATACTGTTTTTATGAAACCTGCAGGAACTTAGTAGCACTCTGTCAAATTTTGTTGTAATTAAACAGTAGCTTCAAAAGATTGTTAGGGAAGAACAGACTGGCTTCACACAAGCCTTAAAATAAATCATTTTTGCCTGTATTTTAATGTTAAAAGCTTTGTTCACAGTGTCTCTCTGTTTTTAAATGGCCAGGTTTGAGAAAAGAAATACTGCCAAACAATTGTTGTTACTGATGTCGGTGTAGTTAGCCTGTATTCACAGAGAACCTGTGTCTTTAAAGTTCATTCAAATGAAATGTCACTCACTTTTCAGAACCTTCCAACAACAACAAAAAATATTTTTCCTTATTTCTAGGGATGTAATCCTCTTGCTGAGACGGGTCGAAGTAAACTACAAAATCAAAGAGCTGTTCTAAACCAGCAGATCTTAAAAGCAGTGAGACTGAGAGCTGGTGCTGAAAATCTTTTACGGTATGTGCTAACACTTACTAGTTGTCTAGCTAGAGCAACAAAATGGTTTTGTTTGTTTGGGCTTTTTTTCCAGTCTCTTAGTGAGTGCTTTTTCTCAGTCTGCCTAACTGCTCTCATAATGTGCTAAATAAATTGCTACTGGATGCTTTGTGAATATCCCTGAAGCTTTTAAGCCTTAGCTCCATAGAATCATTACCCGCTCTAACATGCGCTTTCAAAGCCACTGTGTTGTAGCAAACGGGCAGAGCAGACTATCTTACACTGCTTTGGTTGATCAGTTTTATTGTTAGTGATAATGGCAAGTGAACATAGTAACGGGTCCTTTTCACACTTGAAATCAAATAACGGTCTAATCGCTATCCTATTGCCCTTTCTAAGTTTCTTTAAATCTGTGCTCCACAGTAGAAAGGAGCATCACTTCCCTGTTCCATGTGGTAGTGATATAGGAGTAGCAGGATAGCACATCTCTAATTTGAGAGGCGCTACAGTTAGCTCAAACCGTATGAGAATCTGGTGCCAACTGGAAGAGACCGCCTTTTTCCATTACGTTTTGTCCACCAAAATGTCTTATTTAACATACATTGTTTCTTGCGTAGCTGTACCCATAGAAATAACCTTATACTGACCTTGTCTTGTGGCTATTACATCCTGTGATTAACTGCTTAGCAAACAGTCATGTAGTTTTCCAGCAATCCATCGCCTCTGTTACCCAGAAGAACTGTGAAAATTTCCCAAATGCTCATCTGCAGTAGTCTCCTATGGTCTCTGTGTGTCTGTCACTAGAGGAACAACGGGTTTATGGAGTTTTCAGTCTCTAGGAATAAAAATCCAGTCAATATACTTTCCTTAGAGAAGTGAAAATCGCTCAGATAAACTTTATTTTCTTAAGCTTAACGTTAATTGATTGGTTGCTATTTCCCTGTCACCTGTCTTTCTCTCCGCTCTTGCCAAGAGAGGTGGTAGATCCAAAATTTATGTAAATCACTGCTAGTTTTAGCCTCTGTGACTGATATAATTTTGCTTTGTTTTCTGGTAATTGACTTAGGAGTAAGGCGTTAGTTCTTTTCCTTACCTTTTGTATTCATGCAAAATTCTTTTATTTGCTTTTGAAGGTGAACACTAGTCAATCAGTAGATGACTCTGCATGCCAACTGGGAGCTGTTTCAGAAAAGCTACAGAGACCAGTGATATCTAAATTGAACACTGGTTACTCTAAAATTCAGCCTAAAGTTATCCTAAAGTTGGGATCCTGAAATCAATATTAACAGTTAAAATACTTAGGCTGCTATTCACTAGAGTGGGAGCTATGCTGCTTTGAAGAATAAAGGATCAGACTTATTTCTAAGTTGTTAAAAATCTAAAATGAAATTATACCTGTTAGGTAATTAAAACTTGCTAGTTAGAAGTTCTTTGAAGTAAGCCATTTCAAAAGTAACCTGACCGGTAGCTGAGAGTTTACATGACTAGATATATTTACTGTCTCCTCAGAAAAAAACATAAATAAACCAAACTTTCAGATTCTGCTTGGATTTTATCAAGTTTCCAAAGTGGCAAACCAACCATTGTCTGCCAAGAGCCTTCTGCAATAGGACTTGAGGAAAAACTGGACATGCGGGTTCCTTTACTTTTGGCTGAAACGCGAGTAGGTGTGAACAAAGTGAGGTAGCCTTGAAACAAACAACCTACATTGTGCACAGACTTTCTAGAACCTCTGAAAGTCATCCAGATGTTACCACTGCTTAATTTAGCCAATATCAGGTGTTTAATAAAGTACAGCACAGAAAACTTACAGATGACACATTTATAATACGAAACACAAGCTTAGAGGTGTAGCCTTGGAATAACAACCAGTTCTTCATCAAAACGTTCCATAAAACTGGAGGATGTGCCAAGTGGAGATTAACTGTATGAGAAGCTTATTCATAAATATTCATAAAGATTAATTTTAATATGAAACAAAACAAAGGTAAATACAAAATGCTGCAAACTTTTTTTAAAGAAAAGTATTTATTGTCTAATAATTTGGATGCCCTAATGTATCCCTACATTATCTTAAGCCTGGATGCAGATCAGTGCTTTTTATCTTAAACTCGTATCTATGACTATAGATAAGAGTTTAAGTCTCTTGAAAACAGCAATATTTTATGGAGAATCAGGTTGGAATTAGGAAGATACATATGTATGCATATGCATCTTGAAATATGCAAATAAGACATCACACAGCAATGCTCTGGGGCTGTGTTTACATACTAATATCTGCTGTGGTGGCAGTCTAAAAAGTTGTCATGTATTTACATGACACATGAATGGCAAAGGAATCAAAACAATTTTATTTGAGTCAGAAAAACAGATTTACAGAGGAAACTATATTGTATTGCAATGAAAGGGGTTTTTTTGTTTTTTTTTTTTTTTTTTAACCTACATATGTGGTTGCAGAGTATTCTGGAATAACTGTTTTATGGAAAATGTATTTTGTTTTATTCTTAGTGGCATTACCAGAAATCTCAACAGATCATTAAGCTATTCAATTAATAAAACAAGGGATTCTATTTTGAAAAAATACATCCTGAACTGCCCTGCTCCACCCCCATATCTGGTTCGAAGAAAATAACACACAATCCTAAAATAGAGTGGTGACTATGTTTAAGATGCTTTTGTTCTGGTGATTAATGCATCCTAAAAAAAAAAAAAAATACCCCTAACATCACACCAAAAAAATTAGTACACAGCAAACCTTCTAGCTGTCTGCATGCCATTATCTGGAAACTATCACAGGTTCTGTCTTGGCAGATTCTGAAACATGAGATCTTGCATCATCTCTTAAGGGAAAAAAATAATTTAAAAAATGCTGAGAATGCTAGCAAGGGGGTCCACAAAGCTGATGTTCAGCTCCTCTTTCTTGGCACTGAAAAAGTTGTGTCTTTTTCTCTCTGCAGAGCTACCACCAACAACAAAGTACGAGAACAGGTACTACTGGAACTGAGTTTTGTAAACTCAGACCTGCAGATCTTAAAGGAAGAATTAGAAGGACTTAATATCTCAGTAGAGGTTTATCAAAATACAGAGTAAGTGAAAAGCTAAGTTACTCCATTATCAACAAATCTGCTATTTATTGCTGGAAATAAAACTGTTGCTAGATAAATGTGAATGCTGGATAATAACTAGCTGAAAGAACAGAGAACTTGATAGAGAACATGTTTGACGGTGTAGATTTGTTGACTAAGGGTTAGTCTGCATATTTGCCTTTCTCTTGGGAAAGGTATGTAGCACTAATCCTTAGATACTGAGCTCCTTCGTGGAGGTGAGCACTGTAAGAATTGAAAGCTTCTGACCTTTGTGGGGAGATGCATGGCACCTAGAAGAATTTCCAGGTTGGGTACTAGTTCAATTGGATACTAGGTTGGGTAACTAGTTCAATTCATTATTACGTGAATAAACCTAGCAACGTAGTATCTGTTCTCAAATGCAATGCATGCAACAATCCTCCCTTTAGTTGGAGAATAAAAGCAACAGCGTGGCTTTGGAGGTCAAAGCAGTCTTGAGGTAATCTTTAAGGTGTGTGCTCTAGTGATAGAAATCCATGAATTAGCTGACTGAGAAATAAATATGTAGTAGATGCAATTTAAGTTGAGATTGCTCCAAAATGTTATTCTGACGTTAGAGAGACTTTAGAGAGTCAATTGATTCCTCAAACATCAGATTTTAAATTTAAAGATTATTCATTTCCTGAATACTGCAATGACTTCTCTGTCAGATGTCTTGATGCTCCTAAAACTAAGCGTTTAATATTGGATTAACTTTAGCAGCTCAAGACATAAATTTAGGCGATTCATGGGAAGGGGGGGTGTAATTTTGGGTCCTCTTATTGCTGCTCTCAGTATGGGGTTAGCTTCTGGCTAGTCAATAAGGTTAACAGAGAGACTAAACACATCTCCAGTTTGGCATCTTCCATTCGAATGCTGACTTGATCCAAAATAACTACGCTTAAGTCTTCCCAAACAAACTTGTGCCATTTTTTTTTCTTAATTGCAAACTTTGACACCTCTCCTTTTTCTGATGAGAAAATGCTTTTTCATTCAAGATTTTACTAGTATTCACAGATGCATCTGAACATAGAGAGCAGTATGAAAGGGACAGCTGTGGGAGTGAGACTCCAAAAGTTCTAATCCTTCTTCTATCTAAAGAACATATGAAACATCTGACTTCTCAATGAAGGATGAGCAGCAGATCCGGCCCCAAGGCTGGTAGAACCTTGTGCCTGGACATCAGTAGGCTTTTCCTTTTCTCCTGATTCTCCTTCCCCAATTTGTTTTGAATTGTTTCTTATCTTTCTGATGCTGTGCGTTCTAGGTGCTGTAGGTGCTGTAGGTGTAGTACCACCAGCTACAGTAATCCATTCCCCCTGTAACTGCTGTCCAGCCTTTATTTTGCTTTAGCAGCAAATAACTATTAATAGTTGCTCTCTGAATCTATTATGCATATAGTCATCAAGATGAGGTCACACCTACGTTACTGGAAAGGTTAACTGTATATTTCCATCACTCTGCAGTGTTACATCAATCTGAAGGGCTGGCCTCTGTTTTTGCACACTTCTGAGCTGGGTTGAGTAGCACGATACCATTTCTATTCTGCTTTGGAAATCCAGGATCTCCTCCCTGTCTGTCCAGTGCCTCCATGAAGTATTGCATGCTGACTCCTTGGGTGTAACACTTTAGAAACTTAAAAAGTAGAAATTCAGTTTCTTTGAATAGCACTGGTATCTACAGAAACTCTGAACTGTACTAAAAATTAGTCAGTACAGATGTAGGGTTTCTTTTGCATGTGTCCCATTTCCTTTTGGAAAAAAAATCTTGCTATAAACTGCTATAAAAGTGCTATGGTTTATTCTAGAAGTCTCCTCAGAAATCACGTTATTTGCACCTCTTGCAGTGGTATTTGTGCTCCACACCCTGCAAGCCCTTCCTGAGCTAGCACAGCTGCTTTCGGATTGTGTCAACCAAGTTTTAGGACTCCTCCTCTGCTGAGGAAGCTGCACTGCTACTCCCACCTTCCCCCCATGGAATTTTCACCAGTGAGAAAGTGATTTTGCTGGCTTTGCTGATAAGATTATAAATGAATCACACTCATGGTATTTTTACAGTTTGTAACGGAACACTCTAAACAAGAATTAGACAGTGAATCAGTTGTTTGGAGGAAAAAGGAAAATATCACATAAACCTAATAACTGCCAGATACTAATCCATTAAATCTACTAAACAATGTGCCTGTAAGCAAGTCTGATCTTTCTTTTTCTTTTAACTGGGTAATATGTTTAGAGGAAGAACAGTATAAGTAGCTATTGTGCTGAAGAATAAATGGTTGTTTCCTAATATGATCAGGGTTTAAGTCCATGATATAGATATGTATTCTCTTGAGGATCAGGGTTGGGTGTTTTTTTTTTTTAATTTTTTTTTTGAACGTCACCATTTCCATCCTTATCATCCTTTGCTATTTATTTTAGAGGTTGATGCCTAGAACTGTTTAGAAGCTAAGTAGTTCTCGGACTTCCTAACCTTAGATTTTTTTTCACTGTTAAAGTTGGTGTACTCTGGCTGTGCATTTCCCTGTGCTACACACAACTTTTCTACATATTAAACCATTGATAGGATGATAATTACTGATAACTAACATAGCTTTTACCATGGGAGATCTCGTAGCAGCTGTGGAGCTGTTTTCTGTCTATGTAACTTGTGCAGGTGTATAAAAGTTGAGCTGTATTGCAACAAACAGGCTTTGAGCCTCCTTTCCTTGCAGGAAAAATAGGCTCAAATGAAAAAAGCACATGCAAGTAGCTTTCCTCACTCTTCCCCCTCTAGGAGTCAAAGGCCAGTAAACAGACTGTTTTGGGCTTGAAGAGATTGTTATAAACCATGTCCCTTTTACTTCAACACCTATCAGCACACTAACTTTCTGTCATCACATGGAACAAAAGTAATTCTCTTATCTACAGACAAATAGAAAACAAAGATTTCTGTGGTTTTGTGTATGTGACTTTTTTTTTTCCCCCTCCCATAGAGAGACTTTCAGCATTCCCTTGGTACCTCTTGGCCTGAAGGAAACCAAAGAAGTAGACTTTATGCTCCCTCTCAAGGTAAATTTCAGAAATATGTTTTGGAATAAATAATTAAAATGAAGAAAAATAATTTGCCTTTCAGAAGAAGTATAATTTATGTACAAGATGTCTTTCATTTTACTTGCCATAAAAAAAAAGGGGGCCTGAGATCACAATTTGTTAAAACTATCCAGCAATTATTTGAGTTCTTGAACTGCTTTGTTATGTAACTTATGTTTGTGTGAACAGAAAACTGGGTGTGCTTTCTGCTGGTGGACTTGATGGAAATGAGAGCTTTATCATTTGTACCGTACTTGATGTATAGCAAGTACTGCAAAGTGCAAATGAAGCAAATCTTCCTTGCTGAGAAGCTCTTGCAGTTTAAACAATATGTTGAATACTTCTGTTCTCCGTAGCCTGCAATGGAGCTGCAGCACACTTTGGTGCCTGTAGGGATATCTATATTTTCTGTCCTCATTTTTTTAGATTTTTTTTCCTGTCAAAGGAGAAGGCCTAGCTAGAATATGCTGAATAGAGGAGCTTGAAAAGCATGTCGTTCTGAGTAACTTATGCCTCTAGGAAAAAAGTGAATATCGATTTTAAGGGTGCTTCATGAAACCACTTGCTGGAGACAGGTATGACATGTAGACTAGGTCTTGCGTGTATGTGTAGCTCCCAGTGCAGTTAAAAGAAATTGTATCTGGTAAGTCTGAGAGCATTATTTGGCATGTTCAAAACCCACCATATTTAAGGTAAATTGGGTTCGTGCCTTAGTTATATAAATAGCTGATCACAGTAGAATCAGTCCATTTATGGCAGGGGCAGGAGAATGGGGGCAGTTGGCAGCAGTGCTCTGTGGTTAAGAGCTACAGCATTATCAAGCCAAAGAGCGCTTGGATTTGGAGCTTCGCAAAGAAATTGTAAGATGCGCTTGCTGTCACTTGGTGTTTTTACTCTGGGGGGAAAAAATGGATTTAGACTCTGAGAGAATTATCTTTGGGCTTTCACTGAAAGCTGCAAGTAACGTTGGAATTAGTTATATAAAATGTCACTCAAATTGCAATAAAATTCTTCCTTACTAATTCTTCACGTTTCTGGATTTAGAAAATTCAAAGATTGAATACGATACCTAGACTATTCCATTTAACATTCATTATCAGCCCCCAAATTCAGCTTCCTTGTATGTCCCTATTTCCTGCTTGGAACAGAGACTAAATTAATGTACTTAGCTAGGACAGAGAGTCAGCACATGTTATAAGAGATCCCACTTTGGAGACAATAGAGTTAAACCAATAGCAAATGAGTATAAATAGGAAGAGAATAAAAATCTCTTCTACAGTCTTGACTATTGATTGCTACTCTAATTGTGAAAGGAAGTATAAAGGTTTTATGGAACACATTGCAGTGATACTCACACTTGTGCTAACCAAGCTCTAACTCAGTTGCAAAGCAGTGTTACAGCATTAGCACTGCTTTTTTGTGGGCTGGTTTACCTTGCTGGCTACCTGAGCTACCTTATTTGTTTCCGTACTACCGTGCATTGTGCAGCGTAGATGTGCCTCATGATAAACTGTCCTTTACATCACCACAGAAATTGTCTCTGCTTTTACATCTCTAGGTTACTCTCAGCGGCCAGATTCTGCTCCCTTTTATGCCATTGCAGCTTTGTCAGTCTCAGTGGAATTGCACTAATATAGCTGACAAGAATTTGGCAGAGTCTCTTCCTGTTAATGAGTTTTCATGGTCACTTGATTCCCTTGTTATTTCATAGTTAAGAGGGTTCATTTGTCCCTTTCAAAAACATTTAAGTGCTGTTGTTTTAAAACCCAATGGAGATGATGTAATAGGTGCTTGGATTCCTTTACACTAAACTGGAGTTTCTTGTCTCTGATATCAGATGAAATTATTAGTTCAGTTGTCTTTTTGTAGCCTCATTACTTTATATTTTCATTGACAGGAAGAGAGTAGAAAAGATGCAGCTCATGACTGAAACAACTTTTTACTGTCTGTAACTACACAAAAATTTAATGAATGGTTTTGGTTGATTTTTAGCTTAATTGTAGCTATTACTTTTTTAGGACTTTATTCTGGAACATTATAGTGAAGACAGTTCTGAGTACGAAGATGAAATAGCAGATCTCATGGATCTGAGACAAGTAAGTTCAAGTATGGCATAACAATGATCATTACATCAGATCAAGTTTTTAATCTCTGATATCAGATCTTTTAATCTAAAATGGTAAGTAATAGTGTTTGTATGGAATCAGGTTATACCGCTTTTACTCATAACTTAATGTATTTTTACTGACTTTACTTCCGAGATATGGAACATGAATCTCCATTGTCAAACAGCTGTACAATCTGAATAAAGAACAAGTGAAGAAAAGGATGAATGAAAAAGTTATGTGAAATTATTGAGCTATTGACAAAACTTTGTAAACCCAGAGTCTTATTATTTTTGAGTTTAAATTATTTTAAAATTAGCAGGAAGAGTGTTGAAGTGACTGCATCTGGTAAAGGGCTGTAGCAGAATTACCGTTATTTCTAATTACTGGTTATTTCCAGCTTTATACTGGAAACATAATATTTCCTTCTAGCTTTCATAAAACACCTACAGTGTTTGTTTTGCTAACTCTGAGGCTTGCCAAATACATCTCCCATGTGCTTCCTTAAAAGTTATGTGCTACCTACTGTATAACTGGAAAACTCTTATTTGGAGTGCATCCATAAGGCCTTAAGCTTACTGTTTCAGATTCCACGCATTTCTGTGATATGCAGAAGTCCAAAGGAAGCAGAGCTTTATTCTTGGTGTTTCAGTATTCATCCTGTAACTCAACAGAATGTACTTTAATCTATTGTATTTTAAGGCCTGCCGTACCCCCAGCCGAGATGAAGCTGGTATTGAGATGCTGATCAGCTATTTTCTTCAACTTGGTTATGTAGAAAACAGATTTTTTCCACCCACCAGGCACATGGGGATTTTATTTACCTGGTAAGTGTGGAGTTCATGTTTGTGTTGGGGTTTTTTCTGTTTTGTTTTGGTTTTTTTGGCAGAACACTGTTAATCTTTAACTGTCTTCTGTTTGATTTGAAGAATGTCAGTGTCATAGTGTTCCCCCTTCACCTCTAGCGTGTGTTTTCAATGCTTTCTTTAGTATTAAGAGTAAACCTGAATACAATAAAGCCCTTTCCATGCTTAGGGTGAAGTCATTGGTTAGATTATGATCTGAGCTACAGGTTTGTACAAGGGAAAGAGGAGGGGGGGGAAATCCTCATTTTATACAACTGTAGATGTTTCCTGGACTCTGAACCTTGGTATGTGAAGCAGATTGGGAATGGATCAGATCTCAGTTCACCCCTTCAATTTGATGAGAACGGCATTGGGGCCATAAAATAGAAGTAATGTCATTTCTTACTGCAGGGGTGGGTTTACTACAGCTGTTAGCAAGGTTGGACTCTGAATTCAAAACCTTGATTTTTATGATGAGAAAAGATGATGACTACCATGCAGCCAAGAAGAATTAAATTTTTAATCCTAACTGCAAGAAGAAACTTTAAAATAAGAGATTTAGAGGTTCTGACCATGCCAGTGGTTGGTCTTTGGCAGCATGTAATAGTGCATGCCTAATAAAAAGAATGAGAACATAGCAAGCATGCATGTATACTTCCCCAGTATGCTCTCAGCCTCTATAATCTGTTTTAGTGGGACTTTGAGTTAGGTATGGTGTGCTTAGAGGTTTTGCTTTAAAAGCCCCTGAAAAGTAAGCCTCAAATGAAGCCATCATCTAGTTTGCTCTAGTCTGTGACATGGCACCTGGATGGTACTCAGAGTACATAAAGGTGATTAGAAATACCATTGTTTTCACTGTATCAGAACAGTCATCAAGAATTCTGCTTCTCTTTTGGAAAAACAGAATGAAAATATCTGTGGTTTCCATGGACTCTGCTTATCTTAACACTTTTTGTATTTATATTTGTTTCCAAAGGTACGATTCCTTCACAGGTGTCCCAGTGTGCCAGCAAAATCTGTTGCTTGAAAAAGCAAGCATTTTATTTAATATTGGAGCCCTCTATACCCAGATTGGTACAAGATGCAATCGTCAGACCCAGACTGGACTTGAAAATGCAGTTGATGCTTTTCAGAGAGCTGCAGGTACAAATTTAAAAGCATCAGGAAAGTCTTAATGCAAATATTCCAAATCTGTGTGACTTCCTGCAGCTCTCTGCATTTCCCACTGACTTCTTCACACAAAAAAGGAGGAATAGGGAAGCCTAGTGAAGAGCTGAGACAAAGCTTTAATTCAAAACCTGGAGCTGCAGTCTGAAAATGCTGATAAAGACAGTGAATGCCATGGTTAACGATTAATGAACTGTAGCTCAAAGGTCTGAGCAATAGCTGTAGTGTTAACTGTTTCATTCTTTGTTTTGCCAACATGCAAAACCTCCATGAATATTACATTGGTATAAAATCTGTACAAAAAATAATTTTAAGGGTTGATGAAGGGCTTAATGTACAGTTTTTCATATGGAGTCTTCAAAATTAATTTTACTATGTTGTCATATAAAATTTGCAATTCATTCGAAGTTATCTACATGTTTTCCATAGATTTCAAAGACAAATAGATTCAAATATTCAATGAATCTCCAACCCAAAATAAGAAAAAAATACAAATTCTAGTAAAGAGAATCGTATCCCTTAAACTAACGTTATAGAAAACAATTTTCTCTTCCTGTAGCTTTTTTAAAATGTCATCAGTGATACATAGATAATATGTATTTGTAAGCTGTATTTGTAATCAGTATGTAGCGTAAGATTGTTGCTGCATTAACAATCTGTGACTATTGGTTTCCACTGCATGTATAGCTTTAAGAGCTGCAAACCATGGACCATAGAGTGGGATAAAACCCCTCTTTGGAATACTGAACAGGTGATACTGAACAGGTATCCAGAAACCTTGATAGTATTTCTTCATGTATTTTTAGATAGATTTTTATCTTTCTATCTATGTATTTTATCTAAAGGAAATTTCAGTACTTGAGAAAATTCTCCTTTCTGCTTCTGCTCCTTCCATTTTTACAAATAAAATCACTACTTTTCACTTCAACGTATTCACAGAACTGTATTAATTCACAAATTGAAATGTATAATCTGCTACTCTGTAGTACCTCTGCAGGGCCCCAAACCAATGTGCTCAGGAGGCATTTCTTTCTACCCGTGTAGAAAGAAACCTGGTTCCATAACACTGTTCTTTATGTTGCTTAAGACATGGTAGAGAGCATGTGTTAGCTGTTTCTTAGTGCTGAATGGAAATTATTGCACAGAGTTTATCCTCAACAAAGCTCTCGGTGTCTATGTCCGTACTACATAAGCAGAAATGTGTTCAGACCTAAAGAAAAGATTCTTTTTCTGTACTTTCAGTTCCTTTCATAAGGCAGTACACTCTATCAGTATCTTGGATGTCTTTGACAAGTTCTTGCACAGTGCAAAGGTGCATACACATGGATATAATTAAATTTTGTATAAGATCATTTTAATAAAGTAAAATATGTAAATATTAATTTAGATGGTGAAAAACGTCAAAAACTAGTAGTAAGCAAATACAGCACAGCAGAGTCAGAACTGAAAGTAGCGACAAGAAATAAGATTGCAGAAGGTGGGACACTTGTAAAGGAGAGGTCTTATTGTTACACTTGTGCAGTATTATCAGCAGTTAGCACACTAGCAGAACTCGCTAAACCAGTTGGATGACGTGCATGCCCGAAGGTTACATTTCCATCCATGTAACGGCTACTTAATGTTTGCACTACAGTTAGTGTTTGTTTTTAATTTGATAAATGATAGAAACAATTAATGTGTTGGTGGAACCAAATGTCTGGAGCAGAATCTAATTCTACCCTATTAAACGTATTGTTCTTACTGTTTACTTACATAGATGGAACAGAGCTTTCATTGGGACACTCAATGCACTTAGCAGCATCTGAAAAGAAGATTCATAATTAATAAGTTTATAGGTTTGTTTTTTCCCTCCATCCAAGCAAGTTACCTTTGCCGTCTTACAGTGGTGTAGCTCTTTATTTTTTGTCCGACATGCAAGTCCTAGCCTACTGCCCCCGTACAAAAGTCACATTCAGTTGAGCACAGCTCTTAAGTTGAAGCAAAAAAACTGTTATAAGCAAATGTGAAGGTACTGCCTTTAAAACCTGCAGCTTCTGTGGCTCCTGTAAATTATAATTTTGAGAACTTTGCCCAAGGACATTTGGGAATGCAAGGGAAAACTAGGAGGTCAGTTTAATTTCATGTTTACTGAGAAACCCTTTGGGTTGATATCGTTCATTTGGATAATTCCTGGAAAGTGTGTTGTCAAATTTCTTATCCCATGTGCTAGACTTTAATTAAAAATTAATTTTATTGTTGGTGAATTAAGTTAACCTGTTTCCCTATTAGTAATACTGACTAAATCATTTGGTAATTTCAGGAGTCCTGAGCTACTTAAAGGAGACCTTTACTCACACACCAAGTTATGACATGAGCCCAGCTATGCTGAATGTATTAATCAAAATGATGCTTGCTCAAGCTCAAGAGTGTGTCTTTGAGCAGATCAGCCTACCTGGAATACGCAATGAGTTTTTCACACTAGTGAAAATGACGCAGGAAGCTGCAAAGGTAAAAATGAGAGACTTAAAACTTAGTCTTTGAAATAACTGTTTGCAGTGCTGTGTTACTAGCTAAAGCCTGTACTAACGCTAACAGGTTTTATTAAACCTAAATGTTAAAAACCATTAGTGAAAATAAAAAGTAACAAAGGATGGCTAACAAGTTACAACAGGAGGTAAAAATGTGAACACAGCAGTATGAATATCATTGCATTAGAATTGTATTAGACTTTTTTTTTTTAATTGAACTTTGACAGAAACATGCTGGAACATGTGGGCAGTGGACTTATCCAAGGTTTCTTACAATCTGTCTTCCAAACAGTACAGATCTTGTTTGCAGATTAACATGTAAAAGGACAAGAGTTGTTTCTGCAGCTGCTGAACAATTACCTGGGTATAATTTCCCAGCAGCTAGAGGGTACGCAAATCTAAAGAGCTGAAGTCCAAAAGAATAATTAAATGGTAACTGTGGGGAGGAAGGGTGTCCAGATAAGCAGAGTCAGTTGCGGTTTCAGGTTAGTAGCTGCAGTACTATCTTGAGAATTGCATTAAAAAATGGAGAGACTGACTATGCCCCAGAAGGTAGTGTTCATACTCGGTGGAGGTTGGTGACATCAAAAATACATGACGTGAAGATGCTTTCTGAGCCATTTCAGAGCAGTGGATATCTAATTGCTTCCATACTAACTAAAGTGGGCAAAGCCTTTCCTACCAACCTTGCAAAGCCACCCTTATTTGTAAGTGTTGATCAGCTGCTGGAGAGAGACTTTTGGATTCTGTCAGGTGGAGTTGTTTGATTCATTAAAGCAGTGTTCACTGCTTGAAAAGCTATTTTATCTCCTCTGGATAAAAGACAGTAGCCCAGATTTATCTAGACCACACAAGATTTAAGGCTAGATAGGACTCCACAGTTTCAGAAGTTAAGGGCAAATCTAAAGTGATATGCTTAACCCTCTTTCTCAGCTGCAGTAACATGACAAGATTTATTTTCAAATTAAAGAACTGTTTATTATGTAGTGTTTTTATTGAACTCTCTCAAGCCACATATTCTTATATAGAATTGATTTATTTTTCTGGGAATAGGGTGGGGAGAAGTCAGAATTTGGGAATTTCATTTTCCCCAAACTTACTTTCTACCCTGCCCTTGTAGCATCCTGTTCCCCCTCCCTCCTTTGACATGATGCACATTGTATTATCTTAAGGCTGAATGTAATATATTTCACTTGAGTAACTGAGCTCCTAATCTCAAATATAAGTTCTTATACTTTAGTTCTGTGCTTTATTTTAGGTGGGAGAGGTTTACATGCTGGTCAACACTGCAATGAATCAGGAACCAGTCAAGGAGAATATCCCTTATTCCTGGTCTAAACTGGCACAAATAAAATCAGACCATTACAAAGCTCTAGCGCATTACTTCATTGCCACCATCCTGTGTGACCATGAGTGTAAGAAGAATAATGTTTTCTATATATTCGTACAAACAATTATTTGCTCAATGAATAAGACTAGGCACTAGGAACTTTGAGGTTTCAATATTTGTTATTTTGTAGCCATTCTCCCATGCAGATATGCTTCTTTATGTCCTGTACAGGAGAATGGCAAAGTTCAATACACTAACTTTTGCAGAAACACATGAAATGCTATATCTACTGTATGCTACTAAGTTGTTCAGTTCTTACATACATGTTTTGGCAAATAAGCATTACTTACGTATTGCAGATGATAAAACTGATACAAGTCCTAATAACTTGAAATTCCCATCAATATGATTTGTAAGAATATTTCTTCATGTTTGGAGAGAAAGTAGCAACTATTGCACAATACACCTAAAGGAACTGAGCACCAAGAGATGTGTAATGAGCTAATGTTCTATATCAATCATTATAGTACAGTCCAGTGATGATGAAGATCAGCAGGAGAAAGCCATGTCCCAGTTGTATGACTATGTGCCAGAAGGACTGAAGATTCTCACCGTTTTAAAGGACAAAGTTCAGAGAAAACAACTAGGTAACTGCCAGTCTCATCCAGCTAATGGATGATAGTTGAAAATTACTTTGTATTTATTGTGTTCATGGAGGACAGCTAACAGTTTGTAATTTCTTCAGGGAAAGCACATTTACGCAAAGCAATTGTTTACCATGAAGAAGCTCTAAGAGTCTGTGGTCTGTGCAAAAAGCTTCGAAACATCGATGTTCTTCAAGAGGTCCTGACAGCTGCACACAAGCGCTCACTTCTCAAATATGCTCAGCAGGACAAGGAAGATGACTTCCTCAGCCTAATCCAAGCTCCGGATATCCTTCGTAAGTACCCACAGCTAGAAAACCAGGGTCTCTAACCAATAATCTGGTGCCCAAGCTAAGTCAGTAATGGTCTTATTTTCAGAAAGTCTTGAGCTAACCTTCCTTCTCTTCCAATCTGAAAGATGCAGCCTTTCAATAGTGTTTAAAGTTAGGCAACACAGCATTTATGGCTAAATGAAGAAGCTTTTTCTGTGCTTTTTGTTCTGCTTTTTTTTTTTTTGCCTACATTAACCCGCATTAGTGTTTTTAAGAAATAACGCTTATATAATTTGAAAACGTCTCGTGATGATTCCTTTTAAGAGATTAATAATGGGAAGAATCTTTGGATCATGCTAACAGGTCAGTTTGAGGGGTACAGAGTTTTGGAAGACTTTAAAAAAAAAAAAAAAGGGGGGGGGGTGAGGTACATACCTCAGGGAACTGGAAAGAGATGGTAGTGGTAGATCAACTAAGAGCTGCCAGTAGCAGTAATGTGCTTCAATTTAGGATTGGATTACTAATTCAATTACTAATACTAATTCAATTAGTATTAAGGAGCAGAAAAGTATTTAAAAACTAGCATCTGAATTATGTTTAGAGAAATTTTTATAATAAAAGGGAAATTCCTATGAAAGCTACCAGTGAAGAAAGTTTGCATTATTGCTATTTTGATATGTGACCATTATATATATATATTACAGTAAGATATGTAACAGACATTTGAGATCAGATTCCTTACATGTTTCCTCAAGCACGGTTTAATGAATTTTGTTGTAGCTGCTTCACAGTGTATCCATCTCTGGCCACATCTTATTTTGGACTGGACAACAGTGATACTACTTAATATTTTTGTTGTTGTTGTTTTGGCTGAATATCTCATGAGCTACCCCCCTCCCCCCCCAAACTGAGAAACTTAAAAGCTAAAATCATAAGGGGAAAGACTAATAACTGTTTATTGTAGCACAGGTTTTACCTTGGTTTAAGCTGTTAACTTAATTTTACTACTTCTGGTTTTTCCTACCTTAGTCCAGCTCATTCAACTATTTCCTCTTTGGGAGCTATGAGAAAGAGCAAGGATTTTTCTTAATTATTTTTCAAAGAAAAAAGCGTGCAAGAGGAGAATAGTGTAGTTTTGTCTGGTTGTATTATTTTAAGCTTGTTCTATCAATAATATGAGCTCTGAAGTTTTTTGTTTTTCTTAGGTGATTTACAAATTTGTCGTATATCTTTCTACTTAACTTTTTGTACAGTCTGTTAAGAATTAAGAACTTCTGTCTAGCTGGAAAAAGAAAAAGAAGTCAGTATCTTTAAGATACTTTCTAAAGATAAGAAGTTAAGAGACTTCTTTAAGAAAAAGAAGTCAGTATCTTAATTCTTTGTTTGTTAGGATAGCCATGTCATTAACACTGGAGAGAATTAATTTTTTTTTTTTTTTTTTAAAGCTGAAACGGAACATAATGTAGAAACAGTTGCTCCTCAGTTTTCCAAGGTGAAAGTTAAAGACTTCTTTCACAGGCTGGTATGTAATATACTGATGTTTGCCAACCTTTGTCACTTTGCTGATAAGTGTATGTTTAGTCTAACGTGAGAGAAATGATACTATCTTAGCCTGAAAACATTATCCTGTAACAGCTGTTTTTTCAGAAGTTATTTGACAGACCACTCCTAGCTTCAGAGGTGTAAGTCAACCTGAGACTAGCAAAGAATAAAAATGTTGTTTGTATATGGCATTGGACAACATTCATTCTTGATAAGCTTCATACACGTCCTATAAAATTTCAGTGGATACCTCATTTACCTCATAGGTGGGGGGAAAGGGAGGGTACTGGGAGATGACAGGCAGGCAGAATGCCTAATGTTGCATGCTACAAAGCCAGTCTTTCAGGTATATCAGCTGTATATCAGTGATCAAAAGGAAGTAGGAATTCTGATGAGGATCAGAATATCTGATATTCCTTGAAACGATTTATCTTCTCTAAAGTGGAGTGATACAGAACCTTGGAGCCTGCTACAGCCCTTAACAGAGATTTCAGAACAGGTTGGCAGTGCTGCTGTTAACCTATTCGTTTTGAAGTATCCCATGAAGAGTCATGAGACATCTTAAAACTTCTGGGATAAATCTCACTGTTCTATTTCTATGGAAGTAGCTGGGAGTTAAACTGAGTAAAACCTACATAAGATGAGCTTAAAGCATTCCAACTTAAAAATGCTTACTTGCAAATGACAATAAACCATCATGTGCCTGCTGCTATATGACCTCCAGGGCCCACTGTCAGTGTTTTCAGCCAAGCAGAGATGGACGGCGCCACGTACCATTCGCTTCTGCTGTGAAGCAGGAGAGCTAGGGTTCAGTCTTAAAGGAGGCTCGCCAGTACAGACTTACTGTCTTGATCCAGTTTGTTCTGCAGCAGTAAGTAAATTGGTGCAATATTAACTATTTATTTCTGGACTCTAGCATTAAAATTTTTTAAAGTATAATTTTAATTTGCTTATATTTATGTATGGAGGATTTCCTGACTTCTAGTATGCATCAGTACAGTCCATATAATCTGTACAAGCTTTCAGTGCTATATATGCCTTAGATGTTAGAGTATCTGCATGCTTGACATCACATTAAACTAGAGTAATTTCTTCCTCTGATCAAACTTGATAGATAAAATCCCAAGCAAATATATTATTCTCCTTTTAATTCAGGAAGTTGGAAGGGATATAGGCCCTGGAAGGTAGTAGCAACAAAAAGGATAAGGATCAGGAAGAGAAGGTAGGATATGACCAAGGAAAAAGAAGGGAAAGAACATAGTGGCTTCTGATGTATTGTTCTCCTGGGAAAGAAACAAAGGGATAAAGCAATATGCAGAGAACACAGGTGAAGTAGAACAAAGACAGAAACAAGCACTTAAGTACAGATAAAATACTGAAGAAACAGAAATAAGAAATGGAGAAAATGTTTCATGGAGGATGATAGGGTAGCTAAAACCATGCTTCACTTATTTTAGGAGACAAGTGAAAAGGATATAAAAAGAGCTAATATCTTAGTATTTATGCCAAAATCACATTTATCAACAATAATTCAACAAAGAGGAAATTTCTGTGCTTGAAAAAGTTGCATGCTTTTATGCTACTTATACACTTTTGTTCCACCTGTCTGGCTAGACAGTGCTTTTATGGCTTTTAAGGAAATGCCTTTAAGGCAGATAATGTATGATGACAGAAACACCTTATACGTCTTTATAATTCCAAATAATCTGTGCAAAATTCTTTGACAGGTGATGGGCCTAAAAGAAGGTGACTACATTGTTTCAGTTGGTGGTGTGGATTGCAAATGGCTTGGAGTGAATGAAGTGCTGGAAAAATTCAAAAGCATGGGAGAGGAGCCCATTGAGATCGAGGTTATCAGTTGCCAGGATACAACAGCTTCTATGGTATGTAATAAGGCAAATATATTTTGCAGATCTGATGGGTCAGGAAAGTGGAAAAAAAACTCTCACTTCTGTTCCTGATGACTGATAACTTTAATGTAGTCAGATATCCCATTTCACCAGTGAAAATATAAAATGTTCAGGCACACGTTCAGTTTTAAACTGCCAATGGACTGAACTCACATTATTATTTATCAATATAAACTGCAGCCTGTATGCATAAGAACGGTGTGCAGGCTTTTTTTTTTTCCTGTAGTGGAACTATTTAGATTAATTACATTATAGATTCCAGGACATATTTTCCCCCCCCCTAACTTGTCACAGAGGGCAAATATTAATCCTTTTAGCATAGAAAAAGTCGCAATGAAACAATAATGACCATCCAAGACTATAATCATCCTTGACTTCTGTAGTTGGTATTCAGAGATTAAAGTAAAATTTTTTATTTTGGTGGACTATAACTGTATTGTACTAAGCTGCTGTAGAAGCTTTAGACTAAGGGAAAAATGATCACAAGATTAAAATATGTTAAGCTCTAAATAAAACTTATTTATAGCATAAGAGAACCTGTAGTTCAGCTAAATCTAGTGCTTCATGTTTCTAGCATTCCCTGGCAAGCTTATACACAGAAATAGTGTTGCCTTAGAAGTGATCAAGGCTCTTACTGCCTTTAAGACATTCATTTGCATTACTAAAAATAAGGAATTCCAATCCTGCCCTTCTGACACAAAAGGCCCTTACTGGACACAGAAGGCTAGAATATAAGCAAATTGCTTCAGGGCATAGCTAAGATAAGACTGAGAAAGCTGTGCCTTCCAGGTATCCCAAAAGAAAAAATGTTCTACAGTACTTTTGTAATAGTTGCAACTAAACTGGAACCTGTTTTTTGGGGTATTTTAACAAATTTTAACAAAACAAACTAAAGACTTTCTGGACACTGAAGACAACAAAAAGAGTTCCCTTCAGGTGATTTGTGCAAGGTCTACTTATTCAAGCTTTGCAGAGAGGTTACTGTGTATACTTGATAGCACTTACTGGCTTCTAAAATAAGTAGTTGGAACAACAGAACTTATGTAAGAGATTCACAAGTCCCTTTACAATTTGCCTATCATATCCTTTAATTCTACATGGGCAAAAAAAAAAAAACGCAAAAAACAAAATTTCAGCATTCTGAAGGGCCTTCTGTTCAATGAGTATGTAACTAGCACAAAAAGCTTTCTGTAGTCTGCATTGGAAAGTTATTCACACAGTAATCTTCTGTTGCCTTCTGTTGTTGCATTTTTTGGATCCCTTTTGGGTAACTTTTTTTTTTTTCCTGCAGCATAGTAAGAGTGCAACTTATTCTGTGGGAATGCAGAAGACATACTCCCTAATCTGTTTAGCCATGGAAGAAGATAAGATTGATCAGACCAAGAAAGTCCCACCAAAACTGCCTTTTCTAAGTTGGGGAACTAAGAATAGACAGAAAGCTGCAAGTACCCTCTGCCTTCCTTCAGCTGTGGCTGGAAGTTCTCAGATTAAGAAAAAGCTTTCTCCCTTCACACTCCTGAGTACAGAAAGTTCATTGTACTGAATCTTTTGGAAGGATTTGTTTAACATGAAGGTGTTCTTAAATGTATATAAAATATATTGATGTCATCTTTGTATACACATTTGTAAATTCAGGCAAATTTTGACTTCGTTTACTGTGTATTTGAACCACTATAAAGGTCAGAGGCTGCCAAAACTTGCAAAACATTTGAAGTTTGAAGATCCAAACAAAGTGGTTTGGGGAGGTATTGAATAGTCATTTGTAGATGATAAAATTACTTACATGGGGACTGGATTCCTTTGGAATTTCAATATTCTATCATAACTTTTATGGCTATTATAGATGGGAGTTATTTATTACAAACTTTGCTGCATGCAGAGTAGAGGACCCTTTGAAAGATGATTCTACTGTAAAAGTTTAGCATTCATAATAAATCACTTAAAACTACTTTAAACAATTATCTTAAGGAGAAACAGCACTGGAGAGAAGATGTTATTTGGAGAAATTAGCCTTGTGCCAAGGGGAGCGTAATGCATCTGGTTTTATGCATAGACATTCTCTTTCTGAGATTACTAAGTGGATTCTGTTAAATAATTGTTAATTTCACTCTGGAAAAAGAATTAGAAAGCTTAAAAGTCAAAAGAGCTTTTACATTACCAAAGGCTTTCTCTCTGCTCTTTCTGATCTAGGTTACATTTTTAATGCCTGTTTATTCTGTTATTAAAAACAGGCTTCATTCTAAACTTGAAATTATTTAACCTACTTAATGCAGAATTTGTATGTCATTAGTCCGGATAAAATTGATAGTATAGAACAAATCTCAAAACTGAAGTATTCCTGTTCTGAAGTATTAATTATGAAGTACATAAGCTGCGGTGATACTTTCAACACATGAGGAAAAATGTGCCTGCAAGTCTAAGTCATAGAGTATTTATTATAGGGCCAAGTACAAACCTTAAAAGACACAAAATCCTCCCCTTGGAATAATTTGAGGGATTATTGGCTACATCTATTAAAAAGAAGAGGCATCAAAGGGATGTTCATACCATTACTCCTTTTTTTGAGATTCTTCTATTTTCTGATTAATTGAAAATTGCTAACACTGTAGTGTTAGTTAAATATGCTATCTACAGAGTAGATATATGCTGTTTGATACTCAAAACTTACTTAAAATAATGGGAAAGTTTGTGCCTGGATATAAACTTTTAAGTTGCCATTTATTTTTAGTTTCTTATATAACAGGTGTATATGTGTTAATGAATTACACTTATTTAAGAATAAAAATCAGATGCTGCCATTTAGTAGTGGCTTCTTGAATCTGCTTCAGCTTGGATGATACAGTATAGTTTACACATTCTCACTATTTTACTGTTGGCAAACCTTTTAAATATCCATTGTGTGTTTCTGAAGTCTTCCTCATAAAGACCTAAAGAAACTGTCTTACTTGCAAGTTTATATTGTGTAATACAGGAATTTATACTACAAAATCAGCATCTTACAAGGAGTGTTAACATGTTTCTAGAGTATCCTTGTATGTTACCCAAAAACCCAAGCAGCAGTCAAATAGTCACTATGCAGCTAATAATGAAATTTTTAGCAAAGTTACATGAAACTCCTTCCAACTCTTCATTTCTCTTAGCCTACAAGGACACTTTTCCTGCAACTAGCTTCCCCCTTATGGTTCTAGCTGCATGGTTAGCTGCCTTTCCATTCTCCTCACTATCACGAGTCACTGAGGAAGGGTTTGGGCAGGGGGTATCCATTTTTTCAAGTCAGTTTGGACTTTTTAAATACTATATAAATACATACAAACTTACTATTTTCTGTGAACTTATTGAAGACTCATTGTACAATGAATGTTAGCTTAAAATAAATAATCAAGATTTGGCACAAGTACTAATGTAATAGCAAGTTACACCGCTGAAAAGTTTGCTGAAGGCCCAGATATTTGCAGCAACTTTCTATCTACAGGGAATGTCTTAGGGCTGCTATAAAACCCTGAAAAACATAGGTTTTTAAAATAGATTAGTAGTTCAGCCTATAAAGTTTAATTAAACTAGTACCAATGAATTTATGTACTAAAAAGATGGCCATTTTTAAGTAGTATGAAGATGTTTGCATTGCAGCCTTAAGAAATAGCCACATACCTTTTCAATGTGAAATCCAGTCTCCATAGCAAAAATGTCATTGACAGAAATGGAGGGAGGGGGGACACTAAAGCAGGAAACAGATTTATATGAAGCTAATCATTCCCTGTAGTAAGATAATAGTACCTTGAGCTGTAGTTCTGAAGACTCCAATGTTTACAATTTAATAAGTTAAATATTTAAGGCCAAATTGTAAGTATATTTTCAGCCCAAGCAACGAATCAGTATAAGTAACATTTGTTATCTGCACTAAGCAGTAGATTAGGTTGTTACAGAGGTGCCAAAACTCCTCTATTCTGTTTCTTCTTTTCTCTGGATTACAAAAGAGAATTAAAAACCCTGCTCAACTGCTTTCCTGCTGTACTGTGAGCTAAAATCCAAGTAGTACATCAGGGCATTTTAGACTGCCTTCTAAATGGGTATAAGGCAAAAGACAATTTTACCCTTACTAAATAGGATAAAAACATCATTTAAAATAATGTGCAAGATGTCAGGAAAACACACCAATCATTTGCTCTCCAGATAACTCTTGAAAAGATTAATACAGGAAGAACATTATGAATTTTTATGAAAACTTGCCAAATTATTTCATGTATGATTATAATTATCCCAACTTATATTAAAAAGAGACTGAAACAGGAATTAACCAGTATTTTGGCTACTAGACAAAAAGGAATAAATTTGCTAACACCCTGTGAATTGAAAAAGGAACCAAAGAAACAAGTTAGTGTAAAGTCAAAGACATATTCAAGCCAGCACTTTCCAAAGGACCTCCAAAAGTAATAAACCAAAGGTACTCTAAAACATTTTATGAATGAAGTTATTGCATTGGGCAATGAAGTTTAGAAAGCCCCTCCTCACAACAAAGAAGACATTTAGAAATAAATACAGCTTAAACAGAGCTGATAGAACTCTGTCAGCAAGTATTATGTTAGCTTTCCAGTCACGTAACATGAAGTAATTGCATTCATATCTGTGCTTATCAACAGGTGTAGAGTGCAAAAAAAAAAAAAAAATCCATCCTCACCTAAAAGTTCCTGAAAAATTATCTGTGCTTATCATCAATTACTTTAAAGCATAAGGTAGGATGATACTATTATTACCTCTATCTCAAACTCTGATGAAATAAAGCACAGTTTGGGGTAAGATATATACACATACACAATCAGTATTGCTGTACACTTTTAAGACTGTTTTAATTCATAATCTCACACTCCCATTAAGGAGTACAAGAGGTATATAAAGAGCAATCAGCTTCGCATGTGTGTTTACTATGTATCATTGAATGTAATAACACAAGTCTACATTTGGCAGAAGCATTTTGAAACCATAATTGGCAAGAGTTTAATTTTCCTGAGCATTCCAGGTTTTTCTGACAATTAGATGAAGTGAAAGTTTCACCTTAGAATTCAACTAAGAAATAATTAAATTGTCCTATCTAAATTGCATCTTTAACAGTGTTACATGATGTAATTCCAGGAAAATATATACTTAAAAAAATGAAGATACTCAAAATATTTTTTAAAGTAATTGGTAACATGCTAACGTTTTATCAAAGGTGTGTTATATGATAGGTTTCACCTAGCATCTCTGTTTACCAGCTCATTATAGTGTGAAGCCTATAGGCTCTTTTAAATACTGTAACTGTCTCCCATTTCTCGTTACTGAGAAGATAATATATTCTGCTTAAAGACAGGTAGGCGAACACTAAATTGTAGAGTATATTCTCAGGAAACATCAGCTGCATTATTAACAAAAGTGTTTATTTCTGGAAGACAAAAATAAGTACCGAAATGTTTTTTCTGTGATTACTGAAAAAGAGACAGCTTTCAATTGTTCATAAAAGATAGATGCGAAACATTTTACAGCCCTTGTTCCAAGGTAAGATTGCAGCTCTACCTACATGAGCAGAATAGCTATAAAGGGGAAAAGTAATCTCCAGATGGTTAGTCAACACCCTTCAGTTTTTAACTAGGATTATCATATGTGATTATTAAAAACAAAGTCTTAAAGAGTTCACAAGGAACACAAAAAAAGTCTTCATGTTCCAAAAGAGAAAGTGTTAACACACGCACGTCAGGAACATAAGGTAAAGAAAGTATAAACTTGTTGTGCTACTGTTTGTCCAACTACTAGCTCAAGCTCTTTGACAGATGCATTGCAAAGTCTGTGGATGCTTCCAAACTGTTGCAGCAGAAGCAGAGCTTTTGTTTTCCCAACTCCTGGAATTTGCTGCACCGTCCGAAACACTGATGCATCTGCTAGATGAGAACACTGTTTACGAAGAAAGGGGTTACTATTGTGATCCTTACTTTGTTCACGGACCTGAGGTAAAACAAAATCATAAGAGATACTGAGTGCCCTCTACTGGAGCTTTTTAAAGTAGTTTCACGCATCTTAAAAGAGCTCAAGGCTCTCACCAGGAAGTTTTAAAAACACCCTCTCCCCCTTAACTGTCTGCCCTTATTAAGAGCTTTCTTAATACAAACTATTAATTAAAAGAATGATTTTGTCAACTGTTTGATACAATCAGAAGCAAGATAAAGGCAAAGAGAAACACAGCATAAAGAACATAGTTTTCCCACTCTGATACAAAGCAGAATCACAATTCAGTTTTGACAGAGAACTTAACTGAAGATAGCTTAATGCTATCCAGTGGTAATCGGTGCAAGAGAACATAAACAACAAAAAAAATCCAGTATCATGTTCTTCACATTTTTTCGCTGCTCCCAGACTAGACCTCCGCTGAACTGTGCTACCACACTACCGTTGAAGGTTTATTCCTTACATTCAGCCAACATTACCTGTGATCCTAAAGGAATTCAACACATTTTCTTATTGAACAGAAGAGGTGATGGTGGGAAAACAAGTAATTCTCCTTGCTCCTATATTTTAATAAATATTTATCCACTAACATAGAAACTTACTAGCTGAATAATAAGTTGAGAAGCTTCTCCTTGATTTGCTACAGGAAGCAACACCATTCCAAGTTCTAGCACGACAAGCTTTTGTACTGCTAAGAAGTACTGATCACTTATCTGAGTTCTCTCAACAATTACAATTCCAACAAGACTGCTAGCCTTTATTGACAGAAAAAAAAAGAGAGAGAAAAGACACTGTCAATAAGATGATTCAATGCAATGGGGAGCAATCTTCTGTCAGCTATGAGCTGCCTGGAAACAAATCAGAGGAAGAATAAGAAGTGGCAGCAACAGTACTGCAGTTTTTATTGATGCAGTACTGCATCATTATTACATAGATTAATTACTCATTAGTTTTCAGGTGGAATATCTCATGCAAGTTTAGCTCCACTAGGATCTAAAAAACATGCAAGAAAAATGTCTTCAGAAACACAGGAAGAACAAATTACAATTAGAAACTTTTCCCTTTCTCTTCCCCTTATGCAGTACTTACATTCCTAAACCGAACCAATCTTCGTTTGAATTCATCTCCTGCCACCAAATCTGCTTCAGAAACATATAAAATGCAAGTTTTGTTTGAAAGATGGAAATCCACAAGTCCCAAGCCATCTTCAACAATGAGCTTAATTTTCCCTTCAGAGGAGATTGTTAGAAGACAAAAACACAGTCATTAAAAAATACAGTAACAATTACTTTAAGATTTAAATGTGTGTCAATAGTTCTAGTGACTTAAAACTTTGCTTTTCATACTCTTTAAAAGCCTCTACTCTCTCTAAAGAAAAGAAAAAAAAAAGGAGCACAGCACGATGCCTTTAGCAATGCCAATTGATAGCACTTCTAAACTACAAGTTCAGTATAGCTTCTCTGTAAAGTCTGGGCTTGAACAAACATCATATCAATCACATCACATGCTATTCTGAAAGCACCTTCTTGATTTAGTTTGTTTTACCAACAGAAGCCAGCATGGTCCCAGTATCCATGTAAACTGGAGGAATTTCAGTGGAGGCACATATTCATAACAACCACATTGCTGTGCTTCCCAAGAATCAGATAGTTCTGCTTCTTTATGCTGCATAAGAAGTATACAGATATGATAGAGCCGACAGATCATAGGCACATAAAAGACAAACAGGAACTTTCAGTCTACTACCACAGGATTCCTCTCAAATATGGCACCAGTCAGGCACAGAGTATATGCATATTCTAGTCAATCTAATGGAGGAGGGAGATGGAGGGAATGCTTTGCTTGATTTTTTCTTCTTCTTCCAAATTGTTTGTACTTACCTTGTAGCCTTTGGGATATTTCTGACCCTCTCCATTTTTCATTTCCAATTACATGTCCATAAGGGACAATGATAGATCCTGCTGTAACAGGGGAGTTTGCTTTTGCTGCCATTGGAGCTCCTTTAACTCTTTACCTCAGTGGCACCTACAGCCTAAAAGGCAATGTGAAAAAAATGTTAATATATTTTATAAGCCTATTCCCAAATTCTTTTTACAATGAAACCTATCAAAAGGTATCCAGAACAGATACAAGCTGAAATAGATTGTATCTCATCCTCCAAGTTACTTTGCAGTTAAACATATAAAAATTGGCAAGAGATCCTATTTGCCTAAATGCAGACTGGGAGCTCTGTGAATTCCACTCCCAAGTTTGCCAGTCGGTATGAAAGACACCTGAACGTGGAAAAACACCTGAATTTAGGCATAAAAGTGGTAAACATCCAGCCCTGAGATAGTCATCTTCATTTACTAAGCTGACTTCAAAAGCTTCTCCAGCCCGCAGCTAGCAAAACTCTCAAGCTACACATGTCAGTTTTTGGGCAAGGTTCTTGAGTCACCAGATTTACGCTTTCTTCAGACTTCAGGGAAAAAATGGGACTCTCTGAGGCTACACCGTCTTTTCAGGAGAAAAAGACAAAGAGGAGCCGGTATGCCCGCAGCCCCCGCCACCGACACCCCCGGCCGCGACCCGCAAGAGAGGGCCCTCGCGCAGGCCTGCCCTGAGCAGAGCGGGGAAGGCCACGACGCCACGCAGGACCGCCGCCGCCGCCCGCCCAGCGCCCACCTGCCCGGGAGAGGCGACGGCGGGGCCCCGCC